GCAAGCAGAGTGCACATGAGTGGGCAGTGTGTGAAGCTGTGAGTGTGAAGCCAAAAGTGTGGTGGAATCACCAGAATTTTGGAGAAAGCAAGAGCATGGATCATTTCAGGGAAGCTGACATGAGCAAGCAGAGCCGGCCCAAGTGAGAAGCCAAGGGAGCTCCAACCAGTGGATGTCCCATTGGCTTGTAGCCACACAAGCCCTTTGGAGTTCACATCTTGCCACAGATTGCCTCAGATACTGGACATGGAACTATAGGACATGTTTTCCCCAATAGATTTTGGACTTGCTTTGGTCCCATTCCTTTCTATCCCCATACTTGCAACTTTTGGATTGGTAATGTTTATTTTGTGCCATTGTGATGGCAGTGTTCAAATTTGTTTCTTTCTTATTTTTGTTAATTTTTCATTTTTAAAGAGAATACAAATAATAAAAACACTAGAAACAATATAGAATTTCAAAAAACAAGATGATATGAATGCAATAGTGATTGTTATATTGCATATTGTTGTCTTCAAATTAGCTGTTCAAATTATCATATAAGCATGAAAATTCATCAAAAATATAAGCATTAAATTTTCTTTTCAATGTTCCAGTAGAAGTTGGACGTACAATTATCTTAGCTATCTTGGTGCCTGTATATATTCATGTTTTTCCCCTTTCCTTCTCAGAAAGCAAGGAGAAAGGGTAAATTTCTTTTCATTTGTACAAAGACTTAGACCTAAGAGCTTGCCTTAAATCTCAGAGGAAACTTTAGACTTGAACTTTTCAGCAATGTTGAAACAGTTAGGACTTTGGCAACTCTTCAGTATGGACTAAATGTTTTGGTTTTTTTTTCATGAAAGGATGTGCATGAGTCTTTAGGTGACGGGGTTGGAATGTTAATTCTTGTATCTAGGTGTCTCCCCAATGTCTCTTTAGTTAGAGATGGGACTTTTGGGAGGTGGTTGGATCTAGTATGTGTGCTTCTTGGATGAAGCATGTGATACTGGGATTGATTCATGGTACAACACTTACATTAAGCCTCCTCGCAGCCCTGGGTGTGAACACTTCCTGCTTTAATGGTGGGTAGCCTGAATTAGATGTAAGAGACAGAAAAGGGTCACTGCTTATCACTTGTCACTTGATGTCTCCTGCCTTGTGCCTGCTTGCTCCATGATGCCCATCTGCCATGCCAGCTTGGAGCCAGCCAAGAATGAACAGAACCTTCTATGAACTGTGCGCTAAATAAATCATTTAACCTTGGGTGTCAGGTATTTTGTCTCAGTAATGAAAAATAACTAGGTGAGCACAACTCACTCACATGTGTTTTCAAAAATACTCAAGCTCATAGAAAGAGAGAATAGAATGATGGCTGTCAGGATCTGGGAGGAGAAGGAAATGGGGCGTTGCTGCTCCCTTAGTGTAATGTTTCAGTTATGCAAGAAGGGTGACATCTAGAGATCTGCTGCACAACATATGCCTGTAGTTAACAATATGCTGTTGTGAATGTTAAAATTTATCAATAGGATGAATCTCATGCTATCAGCTCATAACAACTTAAAATGCTAGAAACAATGGATTTTAAAGAAACATTTGAAGGTGATGCATTTGTTTATTTCTTCATCATGATGGTTATATCGATGCAGGGAAATTCAGTAACCTGTATACATTGAACATTTCACTTTTTGATAAAAATTGCACCTCAATACATGTGCTAAAGTAACACTTTCCAAATATTTTGTTGTTGTTGTTTTGTTTTTGGTGTTTTTCCAGTACCAGGAATCGAACTCACGACCTTGCACTTGCCAGGCAGGTGCTTTTCCGCTGAGCTAAATCCCCAGCCCCACACTTTCCAAATATTAATTGCTTGGTGTATCAAAATTCAAATAATTCTCATGTCCAGTATTGAAATTTACAGTATGACTGCGACCTTTTTCTTGGGTAAGTTAAGGAGCTATTTTAGACTGTACTAGATTTATTAGTTGGACAGTGATTCTTTGCTAACAGAAATTGTTTTATTTTTGCCTTATTTGTAATTCCATTACTTTTATTTTCCTTTAATGCACTGGTTAACATTTTGAATACGAAATTGTGCAAGAGTAGTGCAAACAATTATCCTCCTTTGTTGTAAGTTCCATCCTTCACTTTAAGTACAGTGCTATCATTAGGGTTTTAATAGATGCTCTTTATAAGGTTGTGAGAACTATTATTTACTACTGGTGTGCACAGATTTTTAAAAATCATAGGTGTTAATGGGCCTTCATTGAATGATTTTCTGAAAAAAAATTTATGTGATGGAATGAGTATGATTTCTCCATAAAATACCTAAACTAGGTGTTGTGGCACACTTCTGTAATGCCAGTATGTGGGAGGCTAAGGCAGGCTGATTACCATGAGTTTGAGGCCAGTATGTGCTACATCATGGTGTGGTAAAGGCCAGTCTCCACTAAAAAGTAAGACCCACACTAAAAAATAGAAATGGTTAAAAGTTTGCACCAATAATACCATGTATATTTGGAGATTTCTGTTATGAGATATGTTGAAATATGAATTTCATTTTCTAAAAAAAAAAGCAGATATCTAAATTATTTCTTTCTTCCTAAGTGATACTTTTATATTTGTTTCTTCCAGGAAATTTGTCTATTTTATCAAAGCTGTCAATGTTATGGACATAAACATGTTCAAGTTAATCCTTAACACCCTATTTAATGCATACAATATTTGTAGTGATATCATTTGTTCTTTATACTGGAAATTGAATCTTTCCTCTCTACCAGATCAATCTGGTGAGAAGCTTACATGTGTCATTCATATTTATTAAGAAAGAGTTTTAATCTTTTACTGATATTCCCTCACAACTTTCTGTATTGAACATCAGTGTTTTCTGCTATTGTCATCAGTATTTCCTTCCATTGGCATTCTGCTTGCTTTATATACGCTTTGTTTGATTCTAGTTTCATATAGTAGCAGGTGGTATCACTAACGTGAGATATTCCTGAAGTAAATATTATATATTAGAAAATGTCCCCCAAAACAATAGGTACAAACTTTCCCACTACTTGCCCATGGTTGCCAACTCTTGCAGAGCAAACCTAATCAGTATTGGGTAGGTAGCCTCCATAGGTCATTGAGTCCTTTGTAGCACTGTCACCTATTAGTTGGGTAATGTTTTTTAACCCTTTTGAGGGCCTTGAGTTGATTTCAGCGTAAATCAGGGTGCAGGAATCATCACTATGAGGAAGCTGGCCTACAAGTGATTAATTTCTCTGCATTCATTGGAGTGTGATCCAGTCATCCACGTACCTCACGCCGTCTAAGTTCTGGTCATCCACACCCTTATGCTGCTGCTCTGCTCCATATCCTTACAAATGCATGCAAAAACACAAGGCTTGTTCACTGCTGATTGATGAGTGATGGGAATGAAATTAATTTTCAAGAATCAGCGCTTATCCCGTCATTACTCTTTGTGTTGAAGGAGACAGGTTTTGCTCTTACTTTCTCTCACTTTTTACTCATATTTATGTGGTAGAAACAGTCATTAAGAATAGATAATAGCAGCATGCTTCCCTTGCTTTATTTAAATATGAAATTACTCCAACTATAAAAGAGCCCTTGGAAGAATCCAGTTATTAGTACTTGGTGTAGTCTCACTAGGCCCCTATGCATAAAGAAATAAAACATGAAGCCTCCTCATACAGCTCAAGTGAAATTTGTCTGATGACAGGCCAGAAGTCTGCTGAGAAGGAGTTTAAGGAGGTCTGCTCACCTTGCTTTTGCACCTGTGATGAGAAGGGCCCCTCTGTTACCTCAGTACCCTTACTGGATGCTGGGGGTTTCCTGGCCATTTTTGTAGTGTCTGTACTTCCCAGTGGTCTACACCAGGCGTCTTGATCTCTCTTTCCAAATTTTTCCCAATAACATTGAAGGACCACACCTCGTGTTTTCTTGGGTCGGTAAGCTCCACTCCATTCCATCCATCCCTGGGGTGCAGCAGTTTAGACAACACAGAGTTCCACTGGACACATCCGTGGGTACAAGGTTCTGATGCCGTGGCCTAGATGGTCTGGTTAGAGAAAGGAGGAATTCTCTAAGGCCTGCAAAAGAGCCATGCATATTGGCCTGCTACCCCTTCCCATCTGCCAAGCTCAACTACGATGAATCAAATGAAAGGGAGATGGTGTTTCTCCCATAGTTTTCAGACAAACACAGCATGCACTGGTACATTGTGTTCTGCCTTCCGCCATTACCTAGTTTTTCTTTGGTATCTGATCTTCCTCCAGAAGAAGCTGGCCTCAGCTAAGTGTATGTAGGTGGATGAGCCCTCTCCTACAAATTCTTCTATGCACCTCAAAGTTCATTCTCTTAGTGGCTACTGCTAGAGAGTGCTTCTGTCCCACTTCCTCTTCCCAGTGTTCACTTAGAATCCAGTAGTTCTGTGTGCTTCTGTTTGAAATCACTGGCTTAACCCTCTTAGGATTTCAGGGAAAAAACATGTCCTAATACGCTTCGTAATCTTGTTTACTATCTAAGGGACCTGCTTGTCTCAGCAGGTGTAATACCTAGGCTTGGGTTTCACTGATATAGGGGACATGAGTCAGGCAGTCATGTGCTAAAAATATGTAGGATGTTTGCACATAGGACACGTTTTGATGACTCTCCACACCATTTTCCATAGTGGCTAGAGTCATAAGAAATGAAGAAGGATGCAGTCAGAGAGCAGGATAAGGTTCAAACACAAAAGTAACTAAAAGCAAACATCAAAACTTGAAGGCGCTCAGAGCTCTCCTCTCAGAAGCTGCAGCCATGGTGGAGGTTTGAGAGTTGAACTGCTGTGAAGCCAGGCCCGGCTCAGGCCAGGGAGATGAGAGAGGGAGGTGGCCACGGCCCAGACCCCTCCCAGCGCCTGTGAGCAGCGGCAGGGGCAGCGCCCTCGGGGAGAAATCCAGCCTGCGGCGATGACAGCGGAGGCGGTTCTCTGGGCTGCCTAACTCCTCTTCTATCCGCACCGCCTCCTCTAGGCATCTCCAGAGAGGAGCTGTGTAAGGCCAGAGCTGGGGCCGGAGCCGGCGGAGGATCAACAGAGTGGGCGCTTCCGGAGTGGGTGAGCAGCGGCGGCGGGGAGGGGGCCGGAGTCCCTGTGCACATTTCCAGGGCTGGGTCACCGCGGAGCTGGTCTGTCCCCTTCTGCTGCCTCCAACAGGGCTGCGGCGGCGGCGGCGGAGGCGGCGGCGGCTGCCCAGGCTCTGGGGCTCCCCTTCCAACCGCGCTGCCTCCTCTGGGCGTCTCCGGAGCGGAGCGGTGTAAGCTGAGGGCTCGGGAGGGAATTGGCAGAGGATCGGCGGCAGTGGCATCTGTGCTCCAGGAGCAGGTGAGCACGGGCGGCGGGGAGGGGGCCGGAATCCCTGCGGCTGTTTCCAGGGCTGGGTTAACCCGGAGTCAGTCTCTCCCCTTCCCCTGCCTCGATCAGGGGTGCGTTGGAGGCAGCGGCGGGGGAGGGGCGGGGAGAGCACCTGCAGGGACCACCTGCCCATCTCTGAGCCTCCCCTCCTCCCCGCGGAGCCCAGCTCCTGGGCTCTGAGGCCGCTGTGGGAGGCGGCCCTTCTGAGGACGTTCCTGCTCTCCCCGCCCCGCGGCTCCACTGCCAGCCCGCCTGCCCCTGAGAGGAGCTGGCCCGTCGCTGCAGCCATCCAGCAGCCTCCACAACAGCCCTTACCTGCCGCGACCCACAACCCGGCGGTGGCAGAGCTAGGGACATTGACGTCCAAGGGCGGGACCAGCTCCATCCTGCAGAAGCAGCCCTGCCCTGGCAGCTTCTGCCACCTCTCTGCTCCTTCTTCTTCACCCACAGGCTCCCAGACATGACAGGCATCATCAAAGAGATGGTTAGCAAAAACAAAAAGAGATATCAAGAGGATGGATTCGACTTAGACTTGACCTACATTTATCCAAACATCATTGCTATGGGATTTCCTGCAGAAAAACTTGAGGGCATCTACAGGAACAATATTGTTGACGTAGTAAGGTTTTTGGATTCCAAGCATAAAAACCAGTACAAGATATACAACCTATGTGCCGAAAGGCATTATGACCCTGCCAAATTTAATGGCAAAGTTGCACGCTATCCCTTTGAGGACCATAACCCACCGCAGCTAGAACTTATCAAAGCTTTTTGTGAGGATCTGGACCAGTGGCTGAGCGAAGATGACAATCATGTTGCAGCAGTTCACTGTAAAGCTGGAAAGGGACGGACTGGAGTAATGATTTGTGCATATTTATTGCATCGGGGCAAATTTTTAAGGGCACAAGAGGCCCTAGATTTCTATGGAGAAGTAAGGACCAGAGACAAAAAGGGAGTAACTATTCCCAGTCAGAGGCGCTATGTGTATTATTATAGCTACCTGTTAAAGAATCGTCTGGAGTATAGGCCA